CGTTTAAGGTATAAAAAGTAAAGTCTTAAAGGGTTTATTGCTAATACCTGCCTGACCATGTTGGAGCCGATCGATATGGGTTTAAGCACTCTGGGTTTAGCCTGAGTTTGTAAATATCTTGATCAAGATACTTATCCGTGTTTTGGTTACTGTTCGCTTATTATTTAGGCTTTTTAGGCATGTTTAGAGTTATTGCATAAGTACCGTTTGGCCTTTGAATGTAATAAAGGAATTTATGATTAAATTAGTGTTTGGTTTCCCATATTAATTTCAAATATTAATAATTCCTACAGTTGTATTCACATAGAGCATTGTATTTATATTTTAAAGATATGATGGCAGTTGGAGATTATTTTGTGCCCTCTTTTCCTTGACAATGTTTAAAGAGGTCTGAAGGACTTACCAAAAAACCCAACAACTTTAGAGCTGCATATTTTTCAACCTTATAAATGTCCGGAATCTCACGTTTCTTTCCTTGAGGACTCCTTCAGAGGACCCAGAGATGTGAATTGGGAGCTCTCCGTCCTTAATTGTGAGGGCAGCAGGGCAGATAAAAATTAATGTTTTAAAATAAAAATATCAGATTTTTAAAATTTAAATTAAATACAGGTTTATTTTTTAAAAATAAATGTGAAATTATGACAGTTATGTTAAGGCCTAAATTTATAATTTATTTAAATGTAAATTAAATAAAAATAATACTAAGCACATCTGTTGCAAGTTGTAAAGAGAGTCTACTACTGCACTGGGGGAAATCCCTGGCTAAGCACCTGGAATCAGAGTTTAAGTGCTAAAACAACTTTTGATAGCAGTAGCCTGTCTTTACACCTGCAGAAGAATATTTTCCTCTTTTTGGTTTGCTCATCTAGTTCATTCAGAGTTAAGAAACCAGTTGGAGTTGAAAAAGCAGGGAAACTTCTTCCAATCTAGATGCATGGGGGTTGGGCGGATAGGGGAGCAGCTCCCCGTACAGTGACTTCTCCACCCATGGCTGAGGCGCAATGGGACCAGGAAGTGTGGGGGGGAGGGGTCACTGTATGGTGAGCTGCTCCTCTGTCTGCTCAACCCCCATGCATCTGGACCCACACCCTGCCCCCCCTCCCCCCCAGCCAAGCCTCACCTCCTGCCAACCCTGCCCCCAACCCGCTTTGAAGAGCTTCCTGTAGCTGGGGGAGGTTTCTGGGGGGTTGATCTGACCCAGCCCCAGCTGCTCCGGGCAGAGGAGGGGGAACTCCACCCCCTCTTCACCCTGCCCAGCTGGGACTAATGTTCCTAGGCAGTGACTCTTCCCCGGCTGCTCTGGGTACCCAACCAGATGCACTCCCACTGCTGGGATGGGTGAGTGAGCACTGGTGCAGCTTCTCTTTGCTTCCACACAGAAACCATTTTTCTGCGTGAATGCAGAGAGAATCTGCGAGGGGACAGATTTCTGTGTGCCTGCAGTGGCACAGAATTCTCCTAGGAGTAAACTAATAAGTTTTTAAAATGCTGTTTTTGTCCATTTTAATGTAATTTGAATTTCGATCGAAGTAGACCTTGACATAAATAAAATTAAACATGATCTAGTAAATAAGAAAGGAAAAAGTGAAATGATGCATAACTTAATAAAAATTAAGAATCTGAATAAATGTATGTAAAGCTATATCGTATACTTAATCTATACTGATGGATTTAAGCAGTGTTCCTGGTTAAGAAAAATGAAGCACAGTTTAGTGTAAAGGCTATATTTTGTTGCAAATCAACATGTTTTAATGGTTACCAATCATTGAGAATCAAAAATAACTAAAAAGTACAAATATAAAACAAGATGAAAATAGAGGATTTAAATCAGTTTCCTGCTTGCTGATTTAAATACTGATTGATTTAAATCACTCCGCCCTGAAAGACAGGGTATTAAGATGCTTAAGAGCTTAAACTTGGGGGAGAGGAGGGCCAGAATCTTCACAGAAAAGCTGTTTTATAAATGTTTATTCCTGAAATGAGTAGAAATAAATACTTGATAATAAATAGCAAAGTCTACATTTTATGGAGACTTCCTGTTAGACCATATTGAACTTAAACATTTTTTTAACACCCCGCCCCGCAACTTGTACTAAAGCATACTGTGAACATCTCTCATCACTGAAACTTCATTGCTCTAGTCATAGGCTTTGTGACTGCATGGATTATACAAATCAATCAAGATGCTCATAAAGCTGAAGTTCATTAATTAATAATCATTATTTTGCAAGTAAATACAAACTAAGTTTTATCATTGGTTGTAAATATTACAGCTAGTGGATAGCGAAGTTGTGATGCTCTCTGCACACTGGGAGAAGAAGAGGAGTAGTCTAATAGAGCTGCAGGAACAACTCCAGCAAGTTCCAGGGTTTTTAGCAGATCTGGAGTCCATGACAGCAAATCTGGGTAAGCTGTGTGTGATGTGTTTAACAGGTGTAAAAAGCATTGTAAAAAATTCGTCACATAACAAAACACAGAGGACTGACGACAATTCAGCTGTTCTGAGAATTGTAATTATAAAGCTATTTTTACTCTAACAGATTTCTCTGTTTTATAGAGTGTCTTAAATCCTTATGTTTGTAACAGTTGCCTGAAAACTAGCTGGTTATCGTACATAATTTGAGTATATTCAACTATTGAATCTGCACTCTTAGAGAATTTATCTGTAAATTGCATTTCTGCGAGAGAATCCCCTAATCTGAGACACCTCAGCTGGTCGCTAAAATAAAAGCAGGAGTATTTTTAATTGTACATTGTTGTTGGTTGCTACAGTTACAAAAATTGTGGGTATAGTGTCAATAGCCCAGACACTTGGAGAGTGCAGGGCTAGGCTTTCGTGAGAGGTGTTGGTCTTATCATAGGCATTGTTACGAGCCCTGCCTATTACTAAGGCTGCCCAACAAGTGCCTTTATAAGATCCGTTTTTCAGATGCTTACAACTTTTCTGAACAGTAAC